GACTGCCAGCAGTCTGAACTGAAGGACCATATGTTGTCTCTACTGTTGTACTCTAGAAACCTTGAATGGAGGGGAGAATAGAAGTCTAGAAAGATCTGCCAAATACATTAATGCTCTTGTTTGAAAAAAAATTAATTATTATAGCACGATTTACCAAGTTGTTCATTATACAGTTGTTTTAGGCATTAAATGTCCCAACACCAATCCCACCACCACTGTGACCCTTCCTCTGCCAATGTCCCCAGTTTCCTACACACCATAGCAGGTATAAATTTACATCATATTGTTTGTTACAACACAAAGGCAATTAGAATTATCAAAACATAAATCAATAAAAGTCAATTTGTGATAATTGTGGTTTCTCACAATGGTGTTATTGAAGTCATTGAGGATTAACTGGGCTTGTTGGTTCTAATTGAGCCTTCTGTGTAATTGTTCTTTCTCATTAATCTTTTTGGTCTACACAACTTTCCCACCAGATTTGCTGTGGTCCTACTGGGCTGATAAAATTTGGAGATGTCATGTGGCCACATATGTGACTGTGCACTCCAGGAACTACAGAACTGTAATGGTTTGACAATTTGATAAAATTCAGTTATGGAACTGGGCTATTTCTATGTCATATGTGGCTATGGGCTGTTGTGTCTTCAAGCAGAAGGGGAATCTGCCTGCCTCCAATCTGGGATGGCCCCAGAATTGTCAGACTGGACCAGTCTATCTGATAGCTGCATGCTCTTTCATTTCTCTGCCAGCAAGATGGTGGGTGCAGTAGAGACTACTGGGTTTTCCCGTGACAGGTGGGTAGGTGGGATCTGCCTGTCCCCATTCTGAGGACATCCCAGTTCTTGTTTCTGATGAACTGTCATGAAGTTGGGGGCAGAGATACATAGAAGAGGGTTAGGAAGCTCACTGGTTCAATCATGGTGCTTATTTTCTGGGCAATCTACTTGACTAAGTTGGGTTTCTTTCCCCCCCCCCCCCCATCTTTAAGGGCATATAATTCCATGTTATGGGGTAGTTTGGGGAATTACAATTATTTTATATAAGTGGCATACTGTCAGCATTGTGCCTGGCATTGTATTAGCCAGTGCTGATAAAGTATTTTTATTAGTAGAAATGGTGAAAAACAAAAACAAACAAAAGAAACAAGTGTTTGTTTCAACCCCGTCCCTGGAGGCTGGACTAGCTGGAGGGTTCCTGCTTCCTCATAAGGCAATTATTCTCATCCTGGAGCCCTCTCCTCTCTATTGCTCAGGCTGGTGTGATCAAGGTCCCTGGGTCCTTTGGCATCAGTCCCTGTCTCACCAATGAACATCATCCCCACACATCTATGATTTCAGACAGGGAGCCTTAAAAGCAGGATGTTTACTAGCACTAGTATTCTCTGAGGAATTTAGCTAAAATGAGCTTGATGCATCCCACTGAACACTCAGGGAGTCCTGATTTCCCTGGTGGAGCACTGGTTAAATTCGTTTGAGTATCACCAGCATGACTGGCATGGAGGCTGGTTTTAGGAGCTCTCTCTCTCTCTCTCTCTCTCTCTCTCTCTCTCTCTCTCTCTCTCTCTCTCTCTCTCTCTCTCTTTGCGTAATACTCTCCTTCCCAGGCAGCATAGCACATCTAACAAAAGACAGCTGTTTCTGCGTGCACTTTAAGCTCAGTCATACTGACCCAGTGTGTGACAACTAAGTGATTTAAGATACATGTGCATCAAGAGGACGAGCTCTGCATCTACAGGGGTTCCGCAGACAGCCTCACACAAGGGGGCTGTTAGGTACTTAAGTAAGACAGCAATTATCATTGACAGCTGTTATCAATGAGACATATGAACCTTAGCTTCTTAAAAGATGTTTCCCTTATAGGAAAGAAGACTCCAAACCCAGGAATAAATGATGGGCTGTTTGGGAAGCATATAGAAAATGTGAAAAGAGCTGCAGCAGCAGCAGCTCTGAAACAGAAAAGCACTGTGAGCCCTGGTTTGTTTCATTTCTGACTTTTGAAAGGAGAATGATAGGAGGGCACTGTGTCAGAAGCTGGTGCCCAGAGGGGAGCTGTGTGCCCCGTACTCTGCACCTATATTCCACAAACAATTTGGTATCCCGATTGCCGTTAGCTGGGCTGTGCCTAATTTTGACTCTCCCCGCCTTCACGTATGAGGCTCCTGGTTGCTGTGCAAAGATGAAGTACATTTTTTAAGGTTTCTTCTTTTATTATTAATTTTATTGAATCACTGTGAGCTACAGTTACAAAACTTTTATGTTTGAGTTTCAGTCTTACAATGATCGAACACCCATTCCCCCCCACCCCGTGTACCTTTTCCACCACCAGTGTTCCCAGCATGCCTCCCCCACCTCCACCGTCCAACCCTTACCCTGCCACTGTGACACACAATTGCCCTCTTTCTCTCTCTACTTATGGGTATTATGGTTTGCAATACAGAATACAGATGAGAGGCCATCATGTTTGGTCCTTTATCTACTGATGAAGCACATTTCCATCTGAGCCTGTGGCAAGATATAACTCACGAAGAGACCTGGTAGAGATGTCAGTAGAGGACAGGAAATGTTAGACTCCATGGGGCCAGGGATGCTCAGTTTTCTTTAGATTCCTTACAAAGGAGATGAGAGAGCTCAGAGTACCGCCTGTTGCGGTAAAGACTGGGAGATCAATGTCCTGAATTTCAGAGGAATCTGCTTGGGGCTGGCTTTGTGAGGTTCTCGGACTTGGGTTACTGTCCATTGAGAGCAGTGGCACCTTTCTTATCCTCGGGTTGCGTGCGTTGGTGGGACTGAAATCCATATCCAAGGTGGTTAGTGAGCCTGCAGGACAAAGAGAGGGTGATGGTTTATTTCCTGAAGATTCCAGGTTAGGTGCCCACACACAGCCTTTGGATTAGCCCTTTATTAAGACAATTTCGTTAGGTCCAATCTCTGCCCTGCTGATAATTTCTCTTTCCCTCTCATGGCTCTTTAACTACCTGCCCCTTGTTTGAGAAGTGCAGACAGCACAGTTCAAGCTGGTACTAAGTCACTATCCAACTCTGCTGTAGGACACCTACCACGCAGCGAGAAACTAGTCATTCATTCTCGCGCCACCCATCCCTGTCAGACAAAACATGAAAACTACTCTCTGCCCTTAGTTCCCATAATTGAGAAGATGACTAAGAGCAGATGCTAGGAGTGGACCAGCGCTGAGCCACAAGGAGGCAGGAGCCGTCCCTCTCAGCACCGCGGGCAGGGGGCGCTGTGCAGATGCCGGGCAGGGTACCCGTCCTGAGCATCACTGCCTTGACCGGACATCATCAGAACCTCCAGTGTCGCCGGCGCTAACCACCCAAGGGGTGCCTGTTGCAGGGAGACTTCTGCCACACGAAAAAGGGCAATGGAAAGCCTGAGCTCTCGGTTCCTCAGCTCGGACTCCAACCCGCGCCGCGGGCGCGGGGCGCGGCGGGGAGCTCGTCGGCCGTGACGGCGCGTCGCCAGCAGGTGTCAGTGCGCCCTCGCCGTGGCGGTGCGCGGCCTCCGCCTCCAGGACCCTCCCCACTGACGGCTGGGGCGGGGACGGTCCAGACCGCGGGCAGCCGCTGTCCAGCAGAGAGCTCTGCGGCTGGACACCTCGTGGCCACCTGCCCCGCAAGCGGAGCTCTAAACTCCAGCCGGGACGCTCCGAAGGAGCTTCCCAATTCGCCCCAGGGTTCGATCCGATCCGTGCCTGCCTCTCTCATCAGGATCCCACTCGCCCCGACCGCCAGGTACGCTTGCGGACGAGAGAGGCAAGCCCAGGCTAGGGCTGCTTCGAATCAGACCCTCGCTGGTGGCAGCTGCTCCCGATTCGGCTCGGAGGTCGCCGACAGCCCGTCGTTCCAGGACCCGGCGGCACCCGGCCACGCTCCGGGGCCCGCAGCTTTCTGCTGGGCCGGCCCCAAGCTGCTCCACCAATTCCCAGCAGGGGCCGCTCCCCACCCTTCCGGATTCGCTCCTTCAACCCCACGCGCAGGGTACCCGCCTCCTCCCAGGGCCTGTCCAGTCCAGGGGGCAGCGCTACCCCGGGTCCCACGCGGGGCGCAGGCACAGACCCGCGGAGGGGAGGCGCAAGGGGCGGGGGAGGGTCGGCTTCCCACGTGGGGGCTGACGCCGGCTGCTCGGCAACGCCGGCTTGATCCTGGGGCTATAAAACCGGTCCTCGGTGAGCGGCGCCGAGCAGCAGCAGCTCCGGCTTCGGTGCAGGCGCCCTGCAGCTGGCGCGCCGCCGCCCAGCACCCCGGCACCTTCTCCCCCAAGCCGTGCGCTCCTTCCCCAACTCTCGTTCCTCCCGGACCCGGCGCGCAGCGCGGCCCGGCCCACGCCCAAGACACTCGGCTCCAGGAGGACCGACCGCCCACCCACTTCGGCCAGCCTAAGGAAGGGGGCGCCTTCATGCGTCCCCCACACCTGTCACCCGGCCGCCGCCGCCGCCGCCCCCCAGCTCGCGCGCTGCGCCCCAGCCCCAGCGGGGCGCACAACTTTGGAAGTCCCGCGGTGCTCGGAAAAGGCTGCAGAGTCCGCGCCCTCGCCCCGGCCGGGGCCCCGCCGGCCCCGCCGCGTCTGGGGAAAGCCAGAGAGTCGCTTATCGCTTCGGGGATGTAAGGAGACTGACGTAGGACCCCCCAGCCCGCATCAGCACCGCTCCGCTGCCTTTCGGGTGGGGGCGGGCCCCGCACACGGTAAGACCTTGCTTTGGCTCACGAGTCAAGGTTTCTTAGATCTCTGTGTTTGGAATTTTTAATTTTTTGGTCATCCTTCCAAGTGCTCGGGCTACCGATGGTTTTGGTTCTGACTTCTTGAAGAATAAATCGCTCTTCCCACCCACCCCCCCATCCTCTCGACCTCTTCTCTCCCGCCGCCTAGCCACCAAACTTGGCCGTGTTTGGGCGCTGGGGACCCGAAGGCGTCCGCCCCGAGCGCCCCGGAGCGCGCCGGTCGAGCGCAGTTCGCGGGAGCCAGGCCTATGGGCCGCTAGCAGGCCCCCAGCGGCGCGGGCCCGGCCTCCGGGCGTCCCCCTCCGTATGTGAGGCGCGGCGGGGCGAGCGGGGCTCAGGAGGAAGAGGAGGACCCACGGGCGCCGGGCCGGAAGGCAGCTGGCAGTAGGCCCAGGCGAGCGAGCACCCGCGTTCATGTTCCGCCAGGAGCAGCCGCTGGCCGAGGGCAGCTTCACGCCCATGGGCTCCCTGCAGCCGGACGCGGGCAACACGAGCTGGAATGGGACAGAGGCGCCCGGGGGCGGCGTCCGGGCCACCCCCTACTCCCTGCAGGTGACGCTGACACTGGTGTGCCTGGTCGGCCTGCTCATGCTGCTCACCGTGTTCGGCAACGTGCTGGTCATCATCGCCGTGTTCACCAGCCGCGCGCTCAAGGCGCCCCAAAACCTCTTCTTGGTGTCGCTGGCCTCGGCCGACATCCTGGTGGCCACGCTCGTCATCCCCTTCTCGCTGGCCAACGAGGTCATGGGCTACTGGTACTTCGGCAATTTGTGGTGCGAGATCTACCTGGCGCTCGACGTGCTCTTCTGCACCTCGTCCATCGTGCACCTGTGCGCCATCAGCCTGGACCGCTACTGGTCCATCACGCAGGCCATCGAGTACAACCTGAGGCGCACGCCGCGCCGCATCAAGGCCATCATCGTCACGGTGTGGGTCATCTCGGCCATCATCTCCTTCCCGCCGCTCATCTCCCTCGACAAGGGCGGCGGCGGCGGCGGCGCGGGCGGCGGCGGCGGCGGGCAGACGCCCGCCGAGCCCCGGTGCGAGATCAACGACCAGATGTGGTACGTCATCTCGTCGTGCATCGGCTCCTTCTTCGCGCCCTGCCTCATCATGATCCTGGTCTACGTGCGCATCTACCAGATCGCCAAGCGCCGCACCCGCGTGCCGCCCAGCCGCCGCGGCCCGGACCCCGCCGCCGCCGCCAACGCCACCGCCGCCGCCGCGCCGCCGGGGGGCGCCGAGCGCCGGCCCAACGGCCTGGGCCCCGAGCACGGCGTGCTGGGGCCGGGGGGCGCCGAGGCCGAGCCGCTGCCCACGCAGCTCAACGGGGGCCCGGGGGAGCCGGCGGCCACCGGGATGCGCGACGCCGACGCGCAGGACCTGGAGGAGAGCTCGTCGTCCGAGCACGCCGAGCGGCCCCCGGGGTCCCGGCGCTCGGAGCGCGGCCCCCGGGCCTCGGGCAAGGCCCTCGCGGGCCACGGGAAGCTGGGGGACAGCCTGCCGCGGCGCGGGCCCGGGGCCGGGGGCTGCGCGACGCCGGTGGCCGGGGCGGCCGAGGAGCGCGGCGGGGTGGCCAAGGCGTCGCGCTGGCGCGGGCGGCAGAACCGTGAGAAACGCTTCACGTTCGTGCTGGCCGTGGTCATCGGCGTGTTCGTGGTGTGCTGGTTCCCCTTCTTCTTCACCTACACGCTCACGGCCGTCGGCTGCTCGGTGCCGCGCACGCTCTTCAAGTTCTTCTTCTGGTTCGGCTATTGCAACAGCTCGCTGAACCCCGTTATCTACACCATCTTCAACCACGACTTCCGCCGCGCCTTCAAGAAGATCCTCTGTCGGGGGGACAGGAAGCGGATCGTGTGAGCCGATCGTCCACGCCGCCCGGGTCCCTCCCGCGCCGGGGACCCCCCGCCCATCCCAACTTCAGACTGCGGCGAGGTAGCGCCAAGGCTGCCTCCCTGCGGGCGTCTGCTCGAGCCCGCCTGGGGTGGGAGAGGGAGAGCGCTCCTCTCCCCGCCCCACAGCTGGTAGCATCGCTCTGGACACAGAGCCCTGGGCTGGGGCTCCTGGGCCTCCCCGAAACAGTGTTGTTCCCTCCAGGTGTTGTCGTGTCCCCGCTGAGTGCGGCGGCATTCGGGGCGCAGACACGCGGCCCCAGAAGGAGAGTGAATGGATGGGGGTTACTGGACCCTGGCTGCGCGCGCTCCTCCGGCCACCGACTCTGTTTTCAAACAAAGGCTCAGGGCAGCCCTGCCCGCTCACCGCTCCATCCCTCCCCCACACTGTAAATACACACTCTTGATAGTGTGTGCCGCGAGGGTCCCCAACTAGCTTGGCTTTTCGTGTTGGGATCTGACTGTTGGGACGCACGTCGTCCCAAGCCCCTTTGCAGCGCAAGCCATTTCCAGACTCGTTCCCTCTTTTCGTGCTTTTTCACCAGCAACTGGTGACTGTCCCTTGGGCCCAGATTCGGCCTTGAGATTTCTTGAGGGGATGAAGATTTCTCTCTCCCCGCCCCTCCCCCTTTTGCCTCCCAGCATAATTGATGGCCACGCCTCGTGCCCTCCCAACCCCCTGTGTAAATAGAACAACGAACCCGAGACAAGGGTAAATGAACCTTTCCACCTTGCCTCGGCCCTGTGTATAAAGCCATTATCCTCGGATGCACCTTTGCCCAGAAACTCACTTGAAAAAACCTCTTTCCAGGGTCCTCCCCCAGCACACGCATTGCTCGAAGGATTTGCTCTGTTTTTATCTTGTATGTTAGTGTGCCCCTCCCTTCCCCAAAGTGCTGACGAGGGAAATCTTGGAGCTGCTGTGTTTAGACACAGAGGAGTGGAAATTATGTGGAAGAAGCAAACTTGATGCAATTTGCCCTGGGTAAACATTTTGAAAAGACAAATGGGCCTGCCAGACTGCACAGTCCCAGCCTCAAGAGCTCGTAGGTATCAAGACGTTGCCCTTTTCCCTCTGTGCTTTTCTGGTGGAGACCCTGCCTTGAAGGAGAAGGCTCCCACTCCAGAACGACCCCCCACCCCCAAAATCGAGGGAGCCGGGCAGAGCCCTCCTGTTCACTTCTGAGTTTCTGCGTGGCTTAGACAGAATCCGGAAGGCCTGTGCTCTTTTTCCAGTACCGAAAAACTAATGTCAGCACATGTTGCTAATGACAGTGGGTTTTTTTTTAAAATAAAAAAGTTTACAGATCAAATGTGAAATAAATATGAGCTAAATGGTTCTGTCTGTTATCTGAGTTTCCAAGAGCTTAAAGAACATTTGAATCTTAATCTGGGAACATTTGATTAGATACAGAGTTTGTAAAGTAAAGTGGAAAAACAAAAAACAAAAATGAACTTGTGTGTTCCGCATCACTCCACCTTTAGAAGTGTGAGCAATAACCAAGCCACCACTAACCAATTGTGTGTGTCAGATACTGGGCACTGTGATCATTACAGGTGCAGAAGGAGCTTACTGTTATCACCCCTGTTTATCGGGGAAGACACATGGGCCAAGGGTAAGAGGTTTGCTCACTCCCAAGGGTGGAAATACATTGTACTCTGTTTTCTTTGCTCCCAGGCTCTGTGCTTAACCCCAGACCTGGGTCAGCCTCCATTATTAACACCCCCAGAGTACTCTTAATCGTGACGTTTTGGTCCAGTGTTCTGGCTGCACAAACTCTGGGACCGAGGCCAACTGTGCATGTGCCCAAAGCATCTCCATACTCTAAAGTGTGTCTAGATCTCAGAAAAATAAAAAAAAAATCACCAAATCTGGAGGTATGGCAGATACAGGGCGTGGATGCGCTGCAGAACATGGACCAACCATGTCTTGATAACATAGGATGTGCTGTGGCGCCCGTGGTGTGACGTAACCCCCTTCCACAGAACTTTGCATTAGTTGGTGGCTTCTGTGGTCTCTGGCTGGAGGTTGCAGCCCTGTAATGTCATCAATAATTAGGTGCTGACACTCAGCTGTGGGAAGGAAGGCCCTCAGAGGCCCAGCACCTAAGCTGTCATGTGACAGACGGAGGGTGTGTCCGAGAGGAGCTCCAGTGACAGCTGCTGACCGTGGGGACAGCTCCTGTGAGTGTGTAAAATCAGACGCAGCTCTGAGGAAGAAGTGACATTCATCAGGGTTGGAGGGTGAGCAGAGACCAGGCCACGGATGATGACACTTTGCACAAGTGAAACAGGTTGTGACACATGCTCCTGAATCGGCACCCCTCTCCCCACCCCCTACCTGGCCTTGTACCCTCAGCACTTCTATGTCTCCTTATCTTTCTTTACCTCTAGGGTGGGTGGGGAGGGTGTGCTGGGTTGGGCGGCTGAGCACTCTGAGAGGTGAATTGAGCTCTGAGTGGCCTGGGGGGTGGGGGCCTGGTGCCAGCGGCTTTGTTAGTAGCTCCCAGGAGTTGGCACATCAGCCTCACCCTGCATCAGAGCCTGTAGATGGGAGGTGTTCAGGTATCGGGCCCAGGGCCACCGGCGTCAGGGCTCGGTCAGCAAGGGTCTTGGCACTGAGCCTGGCTGCCCGTGGCCCTCTCCCCACCCCCACCCAGCCTCTCTCTTCCTTCATACTCCAGGGCACCCATCGCCCCAAAGGCAAACAGTGCCAGACAATAGGCCAGTCTGGCAGGGCCCCAGGCACTGATCTGTGAGTCCCAGATGCAGGGCAGATACAAACACTGCCAGTTATGGACTCTTCCCGGCTCTGTCTGCCACAAGTGTTTGCCTCCCAGTGCCTTCCTCTCCAAAGGGGCATGCGGGCAATGATGCCACACAGGGCAACCCTCCCCGTCCCCTGCTCCACCATTCCTGGGATGCACAGAAGATGGAGGGGCCTCCTGGGAAGAGTCGTGTGGGAGGGCTAGAGTCTGGGAGCCCGGGACAGGGAGGGAGGGGGGTTCTGAATGGATGGGGCGGGGGCACCTTTGCACAGGACTTTGGAGAGGCTCTGTGAGGCAAAGGATGGGATCTAGGGATAGGTGAGGTGCTCCAGAGTGAACCTACAGATCAGAGGACACTGTATGCCCATACTGCCCTGCATCCTGGGAGCCCCAAGCACCCCCGGGGGGAGCTGACTCTGCAGAATCTTCTTTCCCGGGCCTCTTTGGTTGGCAGACACCAAAACCAATAGTGTGTGCTCGAACATGAAAGGCAGAGCCAGAAATGTTCCCAGTAACCCCCAGCTCCTACATGCTGGGGGGCTGGAGACCCCAAAAGACTGGCAAACAGGAGGCATCTCCTGCCTCCCTCCCCCCATCCCCGCTCCTCCCCAGGCCTCTGTCCCCGGCCATAGGGAACCCAACTGAGATTCTGTGTGGCTGGTGGAGTGGGAGGATCGCTGAGCTCCAAAGCATCCCCTGCATGCCAGCCCCATGCCAGGCACAGCACGAAGACGTCTGTCCTTTGCTCCACTTTGGCATGCGCCCCACAGAGTCCCACAGGAGTTGGAGGGGATCAGAGCCTGCCCTGCCTTCTGGGGACATAAAAGCTTCACAGGGAGCCGGGCTGTGCCCGTGTGGTGCCTTCCTGAGCCACACAGTGGGACAGACAGAGGCCGCAGTGGAGGGCTGGTGGCCCACAGCCGGTCATGGGCTGCTGTTTGTCCTGTGACTGAGGGGACCTGGAGGGCGCGTGATAGCAGAGCTGAGGGAGTGCATTCAGGGGGGCTGGGGAACGCGGGAGGGGGGCCAGGGAAAGCTGGACTTGGGAAGGTTGTCCTAGGCCTGGCACCGGGGGTCCGGACAGGCTCCTGACTCAAGACGCGGGCCAGGGCCTGGCAGCCTGGCCCATGCCCCTGCCAGAACCCACATCTGCTGCCAGGCCCTTGCTGCCCTCTGCTGTCCCAACATGGGCCTGCATAGCTGGGAGGCAGGAAGGGGTGTCCCCCAGGGTTGAGGCACCCCAGGAGGAGACCTCTCAGGGCCATTGGCAAGCAGGACATGTTTTGAACACAGCATTGATCTCTCTGATAACCGGAAACCTTGGGGGTGGGGTGGGGGTGAGGGGTGAGGGTGGAAAGCTAAGGCCCAGGAGGGAAGAGCCATTGGGAGTAGCCTCGGCCTGGCAATAGGAGGCCAGGAGCGAGTCCCAGGCAGGCATTTCAGCACAGATTTGCCCTGGGACAGTGCCCGGCAGAGCCCTATGTTTTCATTTATCGAAGGAAATAGTCTAGATCAAACTCTTTCAAAATATGTTTCTTGGGGCCTGGGAGACAACACTCAGTCTACACAAGGCTCTGGTTTGATTCTTGGTACCCCGTGGCCCCTGGAACGCTATAGCACTATCCTCCTGTTGTTTGTTGATTTGCTCCAGCCGGCCTAGTAATGTCTCCATTGTGAGACTTGTTGTTACTGTGCTTGGCATATCGAATACGTCATGGGTAGCTTGCCAGCCTTTGCCGTGCAGGTAGATACTCTTGGTAGCTTGCCAGGCTCTCCAAGAGGGGCAGAGGAATCTAACTCAGGTCAGCCTCATGGGCCGCGTGCAAGGCAAATGCCCTACCCACTGTGCTATCGCTCCAGGCCCCCAGAGCATGGCCACATAAAGCCCCAGTGGGCGCCAGCAGCAATGGGGAGACCCCAGGAGTATAAAAAGAGAAATGTGTCCCTTGGCATTTATTCAGCTGGCCTGGCCAGGGAGAGAGGCTGGAAAGTCAACACGGATTCCTCCACTGCTGGTCCAGTGTCTACACTGAAACCAACTCAGTGTCAAAGGTGACGGGAAGAAGGGGCACTCCCAGAAGTAGCCCGCCAGGGTGCAGAGCAGGGGGTTGAGGCCGAAACCAGAGCTAGAGGCAAGTCCAGAATTCCTGGCCGAGGATCCTTTGGGGGTCAGACTAGAGGAGGTGACTGCATGGCTAGTTGTCTTGGCCAGCCTGGGCCA